ATGTCTTCTTGGTGTGGAGTAAGGCACCAGCATTTTTACTGCCAATTACTGTTTGTCCGTACACATTTACAGAACTTGTCATTGATAAATGACCTTTAATAATCGCCTCATGCTTTGGTTATTAAGGTCTTAATCTAAATCCTAGCTCTTCTCATTTGCCACAAAATCACATTAAATGGGAAATTCAATGAAGCTTTCAAATTTTCACTGTGATTCACTGAGATGCCATTGTGATCATTTGCAGTTAAAATAGCAAAACAAATATTGTTATTATTAATCAATTGCAATATATTATGCGATATTTTTCATAAAATTGACTGATGTCCTTGAACCTGCTCATTGAAAGCCATTTTTTAAGAGGTAGACCTGGAAAATAATAGACACTAGGAAGCCATCAATTATTTCCCAATTCGGATTTAAGTCTTTTGACATCTTTAAAATGTAGGATGCTGACCATGGTACCCGGCACACAGTGATCAACTTGAGCGAATACACCGTGGCCTTGAAAGGAAAAAGTATCTAATAGACGACGATTCAGGCAATTGCCCTTCGTCGTAGCACAGGTGGCTGGATGGGATCAGAAGTCATGATCTCAGCCTGGTCAATAATGACTTCGAGAACCATAGACATACCTAAACTTATACAGGGGCACGTAAGACGAGCAAATGATCACTTCACCTATGCATGTGCGTTGAACTTCCTTCGTGCCGTATATAGCTGACCGTGATAATCGGAGGTGCCCTTACCATTCAGATTGTAAATGACCTGCTTTAGTAAGCGCTGGCCAAAAGTTAAAAGGCTGTCCAGTTGATTCGGTGAACTTATGCATAATACAGTGCCTCTGATTGACGTTCATTAGTCTTTTCCAGCGGTGTTTGCATCATTGCTGGATCGCACGTGTCACCTTCCCTGCCCTCTGTACGGCAAGGTCACTGTTAATGTTATTTGTTGATCTATCGTTGCTCAGTGTCATGTCGTGTTATTCCAAATCAAACCTTTGACCTATCAGTGGAAATCACTGGACCCTAATAAAGACAATCGACATAGATTGCTCTCCGATGCGTTTTCGGGTTGCGTCCCGTGCGTTGCTCGGAACGATGTCGAACGTTTCGCTCTGTGCTGGGAGCTTCTTGTTTCGAGAGAGGTGAATATCAATTCAATACCAAATGGATCGGTGCAAAGGTGGGTGGCGCTGCCCACGAGTGGAGGGAGAGCCTGCACGAGAGGGAGATCAGATAAACTATTGAAACTAAACAATTTTTTTTTTTACCAGGTAAGGCCTACGGAACTATATAGATCTTTTTCAGAAGCGACCTGGCCACAAATGATAGCTGAACGAAGTGGATTTTCACGTGGAAATTTATGGCAGCCAAATACTTTAAACGGTTCTTTCTCAATCTGAAGGGGAAAACCGGAGAACCTGGAGAAAAATCCATGCGACCACTGCGGGGGAAAACACGCAGACTCCATAACTCACGACCTCCTGCACACCAGACGAGGAAGTTAACATCTCGCCACTGTTCCACGTGAATAAGCACATGGAATGAAATATCGGTCATGCCAAACAACCACACAGGTACAACCAGAAAACACAGGGAGAGTTTATGTAGCGCAACCTCAAAACTCCCTAGGGGCAGCAGTGGCTATGCACGTGGCTGCCTGTAATCCAGCACTGTGGAGGCAGCAGTAACAAGGGTTGATGGATCACCGCATGCATGTTGTGAAACTCCCTTCCCGTGGGTATCGAGGGGCGGTACTCTGGCTTGCCAAGAGAAGGCAGTACAGGAAAAGTGTTGACTCCACCTGTTCCGTCTGTACGGGCTACAGTGTTTCCCCCTCGGACTTGTGTTTTTTCTCCAACTAATCCGGTGTCTTCCCACGTGTTCAGCACTCGTTAATTGGCAGATAGCACCTTAATATATAGAGGGCAATTGTTGGTAGCGCCGTCTCACTGACTGGCTGCCGTCTCGCTCGTCGGTGGTTCCTCCTCATGCCTCTGGGTCCTTCTGTCTCTCTGCGAGAGCAAGGCACGTAGCAGGCTAAAATTATTACTACGATACGTGGAGTTACAAAATATACTCAAACACACCTTCACACAAATTATGTTCGCTCTGCAAGGGGGTGGGCTATTTCATCAAAGCATTTGTCGAAGTAAGCGAATATGTGATTAGAGGCATTATTGCTAAAATTATCCAGGTCCCTAATGACATTATCCAGAATGGCACGGATGTTGACGCCTTACATAAAAGCCCTGTCTTATGATGAACCTCCGAAATAGGTTATAATATTCCGTACGCCGTAATTAATTTGGCCAGGGAGGCTTCCAGCAGCTGTCATGAGACATTGCTGAGAAGAGGGAATGACTAATGGCTTGGGAAGCTTTATCCGGGCATTGATTTTTGTGTGTGTGCTGCCTTCAGGATACAGAGAGTGGCCTCGCTCTTCGCTCGGCATTTGTTTAACCGAGCAAACTCTGGGCCAGTTTAGGCCTCGTCAGCAGAGTCAGGCCTGTTTAAACACATGCTGCTGGATTGAACAGCGTCACCTAGCTGGATATTGTTTTGGTCCACATAGGATATCATGCACATTGCTCACACGATACGATTGTATTCACAATGAGCGTCTGTTCTTCTGTGATGGGCTCGAGTCATTGTCGTTGCTCTGCCTCGTCCACTCTGTATACCACATTCATTCGCTTCATATGAATTGCCTTTACATTGCTTACATTTTCAGGGTTCACACATGGTGTCTGGACCCACAGTCCACGCTGCAATATTCAGAAAGAGCGCAAATCAGAAGCGGTGCTCCTGGGCCCGTGCTGGGGATGCGCTGGGGTGGGCTCCCTACCACCACACGTGGCCCCGCTGGTCACTGTTGTGTTGCCCCACGAGATTGTGGGTTCGATCCCGACCCTGACGCCTGCTACATATTTGGAGTTTGCGTGTTTTTCTCCCCGTGGTCGTGTGGATTTTTCTCCGGGTCCTCCGGTTTTTCCCCTCCACATGTAGAATCAACAGCACTACGCGTTTAGAGTATTTGGCTGATATAAATTTCCACACGATAAGCCACTTTGGTTACGCTATCATTTGTAGCCAGGTCGCTTCTGAAAAAGAGCTGGATAGCTCAGTGGGCTTTACTTGGTAAAATGAAAAGTTTCTCGTTTTAGTTCCACCCTCCTTCATAGCAGTAGAGACCTGTCACTGTTGTATTGCCCCCCCCCCTCGCTGTCCGGGGTCATACCATGGGCTTATTGATAACAACAGACTAAAACTCGATAATGATACATTATTACCGTGCATCTTTTACTTTTATGTAATTATATGCGGTGGGGTTGCGGCGACTGATTTTTGTCAATAGCCCAGCTGTGGGCGATAGAAACGTGCGATCCGTGGCTTTGGAGGCAAGGATCAGTGGACGAGATCTACATTTGTGATTTACATTTGTGGGGCTTGCAATGTACTTTTAACGAGACTTCCAAAATGAACCAAACCTGTAAGGGGGCCAGGAGATGGTTGTCCAGCCCAGCTTTTTCAGCTTTCATTATCTGGTTCTTCTAAATTGTATTATACAGTTCATTGCCATCAGTTGCTCTATTGACTATTTCATCAGCAAATATGAAAATCAATCGGGTTCTGCAAAAGACTCATGAACATCAAATACCATTACGTACGGCCTGAGTTGAGTATGAAAAAAGTGCAAAATTGACAGTCACCTGGGCCCAAGACGTAAATAAGATGATGTATATTGAGAAACGATTAAAACAACTCTTTTCAATGTGAAGACATTTGAGTGTTTTCCGCTCGTACCTGGCCCTCCTGCCGTGGTTCCATCAGTGGCACAAAGACCCTCTCATTTCAATCCTTAATCATGCAACAACTAACATTTTACTACATGGTGGCCGAGCCAAACAATTGCATCAGCAGTAGCTGAGTATAAAAAAGTCTTACTTATTGTGCAGGAGCTGGGGATGTGGGTCCGATTTTACGCGTGCGACACGAGCTGGAATTGTTTGCAGCTATCGTTTCCCCCCCTATTTTCCTCTCCACGGCGCTCTTGATGCATCGTTGTTGTTGCCGTAGTTTCGCACCTTGAGATGCACTCACATTTAAGCGCCGAAACAAAATTCAAATTCTGCATCTCAAAGTTCTGCAGCGTACCTTAGTTCTCGTGTACAGCAAAAATCTAGTAAAAATAGATTTTTTAAAAATATCTAATTCTACATCGCGTGTCTCGTCTTATGGGCCCCCCAGTTTCTTTCTTCATGCAAAAAAACATTGCCTTAAAAAAGAAAATGGCCATTATTTTTCTGGATAAACTACACTCTTTAGCCATTAAAACATTATTCCTGGATAAATGACATTGCTCTACGGGGTGATTCGTATATAATCTATATACCCTACTTGATTTCTAATGATGTCCATTTACTCTCGTCTGAATGGGTGATTGGTGCGATGGGCCCCGTGTCCTTACAGGCATGAGAGTGAAGTGATTTAACAAGTGTATCGACATTGGTGGGAGACGTGTAGAGCCTTTGTTTTTCTCTTTCTATGACTTCTCACGACTATTTTAGTCGGGGGGGGGGGGTGTTATTGCGGCCTGAGAGTTTTGATGAGCTGGCCTAGTTGAAGACAATATGTCTTACCCGAACTGTTGATAATATCTTCGTGCAGTGATTGTACTTGGTTCTCAAGCAATTGTTTTCCACCACAGTCGGTTCGTGTCCTGGTCCTCCTGCTTTTGGTTGCCGTTAAAACACGCTTAAAAAATCCGCATTGGTGCCCTATAAAGATATTAAGACAATTTCATGGGAGAGAAAATTTATCTGAACCTCCTCACTCTCCCATACTAAAAATGAGCAACCCTCACAGGGTGTGGGGGGGGGGTTCGTGATAATTTGTGATGAGGCATTTTGATTTGCGATCCGAGTGGTCATTGCGCGTTCTGATTGGGCTCACTGACGGACGTGCCCTGCCTTGCTTGCGCTGCTGTTTGTGCCTTAGGGACCTCAATATGCTGCTGGAGACCAAGCGCATGGACTCCACTGAGCAAGTGTACTCCCCTTCTGGTGTGTATACCTTTTTTTGTTTGTCTGTCATTATACATGTGCATTTGTCACAGACAACCCCCGTATAGACTTAACAGACTTTTTAGGGCCAAGTGCTGTTAGCGAGCAGCACCTATGAAGACTGGCACAGCACACAAGAAGGTGGGTGTCCAGAACCACGCCCGGCCGCCTTTGTCTCCCCAGTGGCTATGTTTACGCACCGGGTACTCGTTTGAGGCAGTGCAATGCGTCCTCACCGCTGCACCACTGCGTCTGACCGGGCACGTCAAGACCTCTACACGCAAATGCGAGCAAATGTTTGTTCCCCCCCCCTTCTCTGTATTAACACAGAGGCACGTGCGAGTGCCGGTGATTAATTTGGCACCCTTAGAATGGCCACGTTTGTTTTGGCGCCTGCCACTGCTAAAACCAGAAGCGGTGGCGCGCTCTGCAGGGCTGCAGCCGTCGCATTCTCATCGCCGCAGTCAGCGCCGCACGTTTTGTCGCCACAGTGGCGCAAACATGGCCGTGGTGAGACCATTTTGAGAGAGAGAAAACAATACTTGAAAGTAAATGTGCGATCCCTGGCTGCATTGAAGCTTCCAGTCGATGGCTCAGCAACGCGTTTCTACCGTCATATTCACAAAACACGAACCCTGCTCTATTCAACCCGTTATCGCATTAATCATTCTGCCTGAGCGGTAAGCCTCACAATTCTTCTGCTTCCAAGGAGTCTGTTGCAAACAGCTGATAAGAGCCGTTGGTTAGCGTTGTTGGGAAGTCATTCTTGGAACGATTAAGGAACTATGCAACGAGCATGCTTCATTCGTTTCTGTAAAAAAATAATCTCTGCAGAAATATCAGCATGCACTGGAGGGTAAATGGCAGCCTTCAATTATCCTCAACAAATAAGGCACATTATTGTACATGTCTTGGCATCTTCATCATACATCATTTTTCTGCAAGCTCATCTCGATACTTGCAATGTTAACATTACAATGTCACGTAAGGTATATTAAAATGTTTTAGGGTGTAGATTTAAGAGGCCGGAGAGCAGCAGTGGTCCGTGCCACTGGGCTGTGATTCCCAGGCGTGGCTCACGTAAGTGGCAAATGCAATCTGAACCAGACGCCGGTCCCCTTTGACCTTTCACCAACCCATTGCTGACCATCGTGGTGAAGTATGGTCAAAGCAAACGTGCATGGCTGGTACAGTGTGGGGAGGCCATCCAGACAAAAGGCTGAAAAAATAAAATGAAAAAATATGGGAAATTTTTATTTATCCACGGAAATATGCATTACCATTTCTCGCATAGTAAGACCATTCATTAATCGTTGTACAATATGACAAACACCTAAGATAATACACTGGGGGGAAATGCAGGCTACTCTATTACAATTGATGTGCATAAAAAACATGAAACAGTGCTAATCCCCGTGGATGTACTGCCAAAGTAATACAGCTTGGTAAAGGATTAAAATCCAAAGATGTATATTGCGTGATTCAGCAACAGATATCTAGAAATGTGAGTAGAAATTTGAGAGTGTCCAGTTGTCAGGCTCAGGATCAGAATCTTTATTTAGACTGGAGAAATCCGATGAGCAATGAATCTCTTTTTCACACATGTCCAGGATGTTAATCCACAAATCTCAACAGTGCAAAAGCCATTGCCGTATGTTGCTTGGCACTTGTTTAGTGAAGTGTGGTTTGTTTTTTTGTCGTTTCCACAGTGTGTATGACATTTACACATCTATACATTTCTTTTTTATTACAGCTGAAAAACAAAAGTGCATGGGGGTGGATCCACAACAGCTGGCGCTGGAACTGAGAAAAGTGGCAATGAGAGAGGCATCTGACAGCAATGATGAGGACATTCCCACAAACCCGGACTCGTCATCAAACTCGTCCCTGAAACGAGAGCACTCCGCCTATGACAGAGCCCTTCACGAACCCCATGCTGGCATCTCCATGAACGGAAGGTCGACTTCGAAGCCGGATCACGACGCATTAAACAGGGCTAAACTGGAACTGCTCAGCACCAGCCAATTGTCGAATTCAAGACCTCCGCCAAAGACTGATCAAAACAGCACTGGTTGTGCTGATTCTGGGTGCTCTCCGAGACATTCGCCCTCGCCAGGGTCAGCTTCCATCCCGAGCCAAAGGCCCCCGAGGCTCGCAGATTGTCAGCAGAGCACCGTGACCTCCTCCGGTTCTTGTTCGTCGCCAAAACAGTCGAGCGAATCGTCGGGGAGGGCTCAAACGCCCGTGGACACCGCGACGGTTTCCCGTCTGTCCCCTGTCCTCCAGCAGACCCACCTCCCCCAGCCTTCTCAGATAAAGGGCTTCTACCAGGGCCCTGAATTGGGCCCAAAAGCTGGGCAGGTGTCACACAGTGCCCAGCCCCAGCACCCATCAGGGCCCTACATGCTGCCCTGCTCACCATCAAGATCAAATTTTTCGGCAAACCAGTCAACGAACCGGCAACCAAGCCCCCCGCACGGCGGCTTTGTGCCCAAGCACCCATATACGGCAATGCCTACTCATTCCTCCCACCATCCGATTGTCATTCACCACACGGACGACAGACATCCACCGCAGCATCTTCACAATGCACCCCCGACTTATTGTGTGGACAGAGCCACGTGCGCACCGATGGACCGATGCCAGCCTCTACAAATGCACGGTGGCTGCGCTGCCAACAGCTCGTCGCCTAAACCCATTCAGTCGGCCGCCGAAACGGGAAATCCTCAGGCTGCGCATAACGCGCCCCATCCGAGTAGCCAATCGCCAAGGCACGGTCTCGTGCCCCTCGAAAAGATCGCCTTTCAGCAAATGGCAACTACCTCATCCCCGGCCTGCGCAGTCCCCCGACCAGTGCTGCCGGCTCACGGGCGGAGCGCGCCGCAGCCGCCGCATGGAAGTTCCGCCGCCTTCTGCTCCAGCCCCAAACCGGCGCCTCCGGTTCCCGAGAGAAACCAGTCGCTCCAGGCGCACGGCGGCGGTGGCCCTGCACTGGGCCCTGAAGCGCGGCAGGCTCACCCGGCCCAGCAGCCACAATCTTCGTACCGGGCGGTGAGCGCCGTGCCCCGTCCCAGCCACCCGCCGCAAGACAGAAACCAAGGGCAGGGCGTGCACGGTGTGCACGGCGCTCCGCCGCCGTACAGCACCATCCCCAGGCCTGCCAGTCCGGGGCTCGACAGAAGTCAGCTGCAGCACGTGCAACCCGGCGCCCCGGCTTGCAGCCCAGCCGCGAAAGCCACGCGTCCTGTGCAGAGGACTCAGAATGCACCTCCTCCCTACAGCGCAGTGCCCAGGCCGTACCCCCCGGCTTTGGACGGATCTCAAGCACATTACTCCCACGGCAACCCGGGAGCTGCGGGTCAAACCGTGGCGTGCAATCAAGCGGGCGTGGTGGTCAGGAAGCAGCCTCAGTTCTTGCAGACTATTGTGACGCCATCGGGCGCCATGTACGCGGTGGGGTTTCCCGGTGCAGAGCGCTATCACGCCGAGTGCCACCAAGTGCTGCCCGAAATGCCTCCTCATCCGTGCTGCGCTCCGATGCCCCCCGTGCATGCGAGCAACGCTGTCAACAGCAGCGTTCCTCCTCCACCCAGCAGCACGTCTCACTCACAAGCCACGAGGAACAGTGGGGCAGCTGTCGACGCCTCCTTGCCTCCAAGAGCGCCGACAGCCTCTGCAGCCGCAGTGACGAAGAAGCAGCAGCAGCAGCAGGACATTAAGGTAACATCAACTTCGCAGATGGGGGAAACGCTCGTGTGAATCGCCTTTGCTTTTTCGCATTGGATAAATTGTCATCTCACATTAGTGGAGTTTACTTTATTTAAGACGGCGTAGGTTTCCACGGTTGTGCCGTGTGGCTCTCCGATCTGTGTTTTCGAGTTGTGCCACGCGTTGTCCTGTATAAGGGACCGTCCATAAATGACGTCACGCACCTAGGGGGGGGAGGTGGGTCAGACATTTGTGACGATGTGTGACAAGGGGGGAAGGGGGGGTTTGAGAAATGTGACGTCACTTAAAAACGCGCAACTTTAAATAAATATTAATTAAATAGAATTGTTATAACAACACTAATTTTGATTAATTTTCATTATTACATTTTTGATTAGTTAAATTTACTAAGGTCACCTTTTATTTATTCCATAAAGGAGCATTTTGCTTCTCCATGGGAGAATGGAGAAGCATAAATTTAGAATTTTTTTTTATGATTGTTATTAAACATTATGATTCTAATGATTTTACCAGGGCTTTTCATTCTGTGAAACGAATATGTGATTGCTATAATTCTACTCTCCATTTTGCTTCGTTTTACTACAAAGTCTCAAGTATATTTCTATAGTTATTATAATTATAAGAGAATTTCAATATAATATTCTGAACATCTGCAGTTTTAGTTAGACGTTGAATATTTTCAAGTGAATTTTATGCTAAATTTCAGCTTTTTAATAAATGTTTTCTCCTACAACATTAGAGTGCAGCACCACATTAAATACGCACTACAATAGTTTAAAGCGATTGGAAGCATTTTTTATTCCAAAATGGAAATATGGTTTGGAGGGGGGGGGGGGGGCAGAGCTTTGTGACGTCATATTTGAGGGGGGTCTGACTTTTTGTGACGCCGTGTGACGAGGGGGGTCAAAAAACGGCCAAAATCGCGTGACGTCATTTATGGACGGCCCCTAATCCATAATGGAGGTGTTTTGGGGTTAGATCGCGTAAATATGAACGTGTGATGAAAGCCGCCTCCGCCTGACAGCCAATTAGTAAGGCTTGTCACATTAACAAAACATGCCAATTACTCACTAGGTCGTTAGAGAGTAAATCCACAATTGTTAATGTCATTTATTGGCACGTTTTGTTTACCTGACAAACCTTACTAATTGGCTGTGTCGGGTGGTGGCAGGTTTAACGACACATTTATATCGACGCGATCTAACCCAATCAAAAAAACCTCTTGTGGATAATAATATAATAATATTGGTCGCGAAAGCCTACGTGTTAAGCTGTCCCTGTATAATGTCCGACGTTCTGCTCCACGTGCCGGGAGCTTCTGACGTCAGTCTGCGTGCTTCTAAGACCACTCGCCAAACAACACGCAGGGCACGAGGCGAAAGCGCGTCGGGAGAGCCACGCAGGGTTTGATGTTGCACCGTGGATGACTTGCCCGTCCTGTGAAATGGGTATTACCTCGTTTTATTTTGACTCGTTACAATGTTTTCAGGCACACAGCTAACAAAAACGTAAGTGCTGCACTTTTATGTCACCCGTTGCTTGGTTGATGTTTTTTTTTTAAAGAAAGCATCTTTTTTTATACACAGTAAAAAAAAGTGTCATGTACTCTGTATTAAGACTGTTACAATTTAAACCTAGAACAGACTGTATAAGCGTGAGATTTAGACTCAAACTCAGGTCGCCAGGTCACAGTGCAGCGCGCTAACCACTGCACCGCCGTTTCCCCTCTCCTGCAAAACCCATCGACGCACACGGCCAAAGGGGAACCACTGGAAATTCTGCCGTTCCTTAAATAAGTTGTGTTGTTGTTGATGATGAAGCGTCCTACTGGTGGAGGCCTGTGACATATTTCTCCAACATGCAGCTCCCGAACTACAGGATATCGGCCTAAATAAGCTCCAGATGTAAACGATTTGAGCGTCCTAAACACCTGAACACGGACAACTCTAAACACAAGAACAGTATGTTAGGGTTGAGTTTGGATTTCCTATTTTCAGATGTAGGTTTTTGAGGTATTTATTCCCAATTTCGGGTGTTATTTCGTATTTTTATATTAATAAGAATGGAAATTTGTTGAATTTTTACAACTTGTATTGTTTATGCACTATAAGTCATAATTTTAATATTTTTGTGAATAATAACATTCTTAATGGAAGGTTCCATCGATGAAACAGTAATTTTAATGTAAACCTTTTGATACTTTAACAACGTGAGAGAAAGTAGCAATGTCACACCTCGTGAAACTTAATGCTCTTGACTACACTTTTGGCGGAAAATGCACGGAAGTGACTCCATGGTCGTGATGTCACATCCTGTGACGTCACAGTTTCGATCTTGTCTGAAACACCAATCTTGTTTTCTGAATCATCAAACATTTTCTATCTAGGCCTGATTATCAGATAAGCAAAAAAGTTGGGATAAACACATCCCGACTATTATATAGCATAAAAAAATGCAGCCCATTAATCATGTGCAAATATACAGGGGTCCACACAATAATATCCGCTATATTACTAGTTCCAGCTTACACGTGCACGATTTTGGCACGACTGTGTTTGAGAAATATGGCCAGTCTTCATGTGGCCACGCAGCACTAACTGGTAGACGAGCAATACTAATTGTAACTCGTTGCAACTCGTTACAATTGGTACTGCTAGTCTCGTTACAATTAATGCAACACCGAGTGCTGTAAATACATGATCACCTGATCACCTGAGCATTGCAATAAAAGAGGAAGGTATGGCACAAATATTAATGTAGATACATTCTTGAATAAAATATGGAAATATATAAGTCCTTTCAAACGTTAAAAGAATTATTGACAGCTGAACTACATTATAATGAATATATTGTAGATGAATTCAAAAAAAAAATAATCATAATAGCAAAACCAAATAAAAACAATTGCCATACTAAATTAAGCATTAAAATTAGTTAAGTATCGAATGATGTTCATCATGCATACATATTTCATCTTAATCAATTACAGTATATTAACGTCTTAAAATGTTTGTACATAAGAAATGTGCATCTGGTGGTGTCCGCTGTGATACTGCTGGATATCTGTAAAAAAGAGCTTTATAGCTCATCGGATTCCTCCAGTACAGATAAATATTCTGATTCTGATACTCTTATTAAGTCACCAGGTGGTGGCAACGCTGCGTAGCAGGGCTTGTTAAGTTAGTTGTGCAGCGCTGTATCACTCTGGTGGTGGTGGTGGTGGTGAGGGCAACCTGTGATGACGGTGTTGATGTGGTGGGAGCTGTTGGGTCTTGCTGTTATCCTTAACACAGAGGGCAAGGGTCACTCTACTTAATATCTTGGACCATGGATATACTAAGTGTACGCTATTCGTTTAAGTGGTTATAATCAAGCAACATTCGTATTTAGAGATTATTACACAATTTGAAACACATTAAGAATATCGATGTTTAAGGTGGTTGGTCAGGTGCTTGCTGGGTTTAAATCTGGACAGCCACCCTTGATTAAACCACTTTCTCGATTTCTAAGTTGGTGGTCCGTGGCCAGGTCACCAATAATGACTGCACAAAAATATCGCACTTGCAATTGGTTCTTCATTTATCTTTTTGGTTCAAATCCAACCTTGAGAAATTACCCGTTTAGTTTTTATTAAATCGCAACGACTGCTATGTACCCTGGCAATTAGCATTTCTCCTCGGCGGGGGCGCGCGTGAAAGCGTGCCACCCAGCGTGCGGGTTTGAAAGGGCACTTGAAGAGATCTCAAGGAGCTCTATGAAACCGCCAGCCATCGGGGCAACTTTCTTAAACCCCCTCGGCGGCCTTTGTCTACGCTGCAGTGTAAATAGGTACACCACAGGTTGCGCTCGTGGTTGTGGTGGTAGGGGGGTGGAGGGGATAAAGTGTGGGTACTCTGACCACTTCCGATACGTAGAAGAGTAGGCCACATGTCGTCTAGATTTGGCTCTCCAGAGCTCACTCGAGCGGAGGCCCTCCCCGCCAGCAGAGGCCCTCCCCGCCAGCAGTGGCGTGAGCAAGCAATAGCAGCGCTGCGCCTCTGTCTTCACGTGTGGCCTGCCGTCACCGTCGTCTTGCTGTGCTTCTTACAGCCCGACCGCCGGTTCCATTTATTCCCCTTTCACTTTGGTGGACAGGTCAACAGACTTATAATGAACAGACAATCAGGTCTTCAAGTACTGTATAGCACGAGAGTGGTATCTTACAGCAGTGCGTTGAAACCCACAGACAGCAAAGAAACAACATTTGCATGGAATCTCCCCGTATGGGCAAATTATTTTGATGCTGCTGCTGCGTTAGCAGTGGTGCACAAGCACAAACATATATATATATATAAACAAAACACATCCTGGACACATTCAGCAATAACACTGTGGCCTTACCATGAAAAGTATATAATAGTCCACATTTGGGACAATGACCCTTCTGCATAGCACATTTTATCTGCCATGCAGAGTGTGTTATGGAATGCGCTATGAAGAACGGTCATTTCCCAAAAAGTTGCCTATTGCATAGTTTTCCTTTGAAGGCCATGGTGTTAACTGACAAATGCGGGATTTGTCCTCCCCTATGGACAGCACCTCAAGTCGCCACCTAAATGCCATCCAGATAAAACGCACACTAAAGGAGCTGGCAATTCTACTGTTTCCCTCGTCGTCAGTGAACGTGTTTTGATGTTGCTTGCGATGAACGCGTTAACGAGTGTGGCCCCGCGAGTAGTTGCGTGAGGGATGCCGGGGAGATCTTGTGGTCATCGCAATCGGATTGTTGGAGACATTAGACAGAGGTCGTCGTTTCGAGTCATTCATGACCTAATGATCATTAGACTTCACGAGCAACCTCCGACAAAACACCAGGATCAGTGTTGTAGATTTCCAAATACTGCGCTGTGCTGTTCTCATCTCATCTGTACTTGTTACGCTGTGACATTTTGTTAATTTTGTATTGCTTAATGTTAAAATTGTAAACCCTTGTTTAACTCTCCTTGATAACC